CACACCGCAACGGAATGTCGTATACAACTCCTACTTGACAAGTTAAATCAGGGTTTTGGTGTTTCTTTAGGCAACCCTGACGACCACCCGAAAAGGGGGTTAAGCTTTCCAATTTATGTTGTGCCTTGAAAACTAAATTTACTCCGAACCTCTTGGCCACTGACTTCAAATTGTGAGATATTCCATGATAGTAAGGCACACAGACCACATTTTTCACAACCGGTTTTTCTACCGGAGCCGAACTGAACTTTTTTAACACCTTGAGCATAACGCTAGAAATCACATCCTGGTGATGGCCCGCTTCCACAAGACGCAACTTTTGCAACCCTATTGCCTCTCCAACGTGATGCACACATGACTTTTTACACGCGTTATCTACCACAGACGCGATTACACCCCTCTTGACTAACTTCGAGTGGCAGCTGTCAGCAGCCAACAAGGGTTTTGCCGATTCCTTACCAAACCTCCAACACAAGCCCTTTTGTGTGTGTAGTAGGAGGTCTAGATACTGAATCTTGCCCTGGAGAGTGCTTCCTTCCGTGAACGTCAAATCGTGGCACTTTTCTATTATACACTTCTTAACCGTCCCTGCTAACCCTTCCTCAAAAGAACAGATCAAAATGTCGTCTACATAGCGACAAACTACAACAGCTCCACTCGGCAAAGACCGCACAAACGCGTCAGTTTCAGGGTTGCCAGGTAGTTTCTACCTCAAACCGCCAAAAGCTAGACGATGTAGCCCAAAAGTAGCCAAATGCAAGATATTTATGTAGCCCAAAAGTAGCCATATTCTGCAGAGCCCAAAAAATTGTGCGCTCGAATGTGCGAGCTCAATTCGTAGACACTGCGTCTGCATATCTAGGGTTTAGGAGCAGCTTGCAAGATCTACGACAACTTAAAATGTATTGAACATTTTATTTCAAACACAAAAGTACAAAAACTTTTCCACGCGTGTTTTTGCAGTCACATAGCTATGAACACTCGCTCGTGCCCAGCTTACTGGCCTCATACATGATTTTCGTGTTAAAACGGGCAAAAACTTCTTCAGTGCGGTTGATGCCCTTACAGAACTCGTTCTTCCCCAGGAAAGCAAACTTTACATAAAGGACGTTTTGAAAAGTTGGAAATGACATGTTCTTCCTTAGGCTTGATTTCGAGAGGGAGATGTGGCTGAATACTCTCTCCACGGCGGCATTCGACATGGGCAGTGTCGGGAGCGCGATGGCAAGCTCGGATAGCAACGGAAACAGGGCTGCTCCTGCCCATTGATCTTGGCTTTGGTCGAAATATTCATTGTCCCAAATCTGTTGTCTTTTGTTGTGGCTCACTCTGCTTTAAGGAACTTCCATGTTTCGTGGAAAAGCCTCCTTTTGTTAAATCCGGTACAGCAAGCGTTATCGGGTGACATAAAATACTGCAGGATGTCTTGAGTTGTCTTTAGTATCATTTTTTCTCAGGTGAGGTGCGTCCTGTAGGGGGATGGTTGGAAGCTCGAGGAAATAAGAGACGCCAGTAGGAAGCACAAAGAACTTGGAGGCAAAAAATAAGAGACGCCAGTAGGAAGCACAAAGAACTTGGAGGCAAAAAATAAGCGACAATTAATGCAAAAGCGATGTCGTCGGAGCTGAATCTAGGTCACGGTAGCTCACTTGAGCTAATAGGTTCTGACATCACGCCCACGAATCTTCAGGCAGAAAATCCCTGTAAGCGGGAATCCAGAAAGGGTGGACTGTCGCTTTGTGTTCATGCGGAAACGTCTTTTGTACATCTACTCTAAACCAAGCAAAAAAAAAAAAAAAGGGCCGTGTTAGCATTTGAAATAGCCAAAAAATAGCCATATAGCCAACCGACAAATTTCGACGCCAAATGCATGACAAAGTAGCCCAATTTGGCTATTAATAGCCCAACCTGGCAACCCTGGTCAGTTTGAGATGTCGTTGATGGAGTGGAGAGGAGGTGTGTCGACCTTTGGAGAGGAGGGTTGTTGTGTATATATAAGAGCTGAGGTGTTCAAATAAACTAGAAGCTGTGTTTGAGACTTGTTGTTGTTTTGTCCGTTTTTTTATTTTTCCGTGTCTCCGGTTTACGATGGAAGTTGTTCACCAGCTCGCCTGTGCTTTTACCCTTTCTTCGTTAACACTGGTATCAAGTTTTAACATGGCGGCCCCCACGGAGCGCCGTAAATTCTGAGGAGGGTGCATTGGAAGCGGCGGCACCTTCCCCCCCCTGATCTCTGATACCGATTTTAATAAAAAATATAAAAAATCGGTCACGCATAAATGTAATGTTTCTTTTTTTTTTTTTTTAGGATGTTTCGATAGTTTTGATTATAAATGAATTATCGCAAAAGTGGTTTGCGACAGTTCGAGACGGCCACTCGCCCCCCCCCCCCCCTCGCCCCCCCCCCCCCCCCCCCCATTTCAACTTACCAGCAAAACTAAAAATCGTAATGTGCAGACAGAAAACGAGGCGAAACAGGACTCATTCCGGGCAGACCACGTCCACCTCTTCTACGATCTCAGTGACGGTGGTTCCTCGTACTTAGAAAGATAAGGACAGAGCCTCGTAAAGTCGGAATTTTTCCGTTACCTCGACGACCCCCCAGTAAAGGCGTCTCCTCTCAATGCTCCACGGCTGCCATCAAGGCAGTATTTATTTGTTTCGTCAGCGGTATTTATTCGAATCTTCGGTGGTATAATCAAGTTTTTCTCCTTCGCTAGTTCGGTATTGTGATCTAATCGACGGTGCCTTGATGATACGTACTGAAAATCTCACGCTGAAGTGTAATTCTTAGTTTACTTTTAAAGTTGGAAAATTCGCTTTCTGATGAAATAAACACGCGCAGCGCTTGAAAATCGAATTTTCCTATTTTTTGCGATATTTGCTAATTGCGATACATACGACGCTGTTTGGAATGCGTTACATCACTATATGTGCTTTTGGAGCACGGCTATGGTGCCTGGATCGCGTCTTTGACTGGCGTGTTTAGCGTCCTATCCCGCCCATACATCAAAAGTGGTCCCGATGTGGCAACAAATGACGCGAGTGTCATGCTGGTGCCTGTCGCGATCCTGGCGGTTGGCCTTAGAAATGCTGGCGAAAAGCACGAGCTAACGCGAGTGTCGCTGTCGTCACGGCGTCCCTTAAAGGACACATGCAAAGGAAAAAAAAAACATTTTTTTAGACAGCTTAGATGGAAAAAGGATGTCATAAAACGATTTTACAACGAAGAAAAAAAATTTTTAGAGCTATATTTACGGCGCTGTACGAATTTGTAGTTGGCGCTCGCGGGACCCGCCGCTGGTCACGTGGTAGGCCCGCGCGCCGCCGCGCTGCGTCGCCGCCGCACGCTGAGCGTTGTGCGAACGCCGCTTCAACGCGTTTCTCCACGCCGCCGTCACCGCCGCCGCAGAAGTTCGTCTGCTTCGGGGCGCCGCCGCCGTCGTCTGACCGGCGCGCAGGTCTATCACGTCTGCTTGCGCTTTTTCAGGAGTTTCCTTTGGGCTCTAAAAGTTACTTATTCATCTTAGTTTTTTGTTATACTTCAAACAAAGATGAATAAGTTACTTTTAGAGGCCATAGGAAGCTTCCGAAAGAACGCAAGCACCACGTGATAAATAAAGACCAGTCACGTGATAAATACAGACCACTTTTCCGCGGTGCCCGCGGGCGCCAACTACAAATTCGTTTTGCGCCGTAAATATAGCTCTGAAAATTTTTTTTCTTCGTTGTAAAATCGTTTTATGGCGTCCTTTTTCCATCTAAGCCGTTTAAAAAAAAATGTTTTTTTCCTTTGCATGTGTGTTAAGACGTCCCAAATCCGGCTGCTAAAGCTACCGTGAACTGTCACAGTGGAAAGCGACCTGCAGCAGAACAGGCATCTGCTACATACACCACAGCTGTTGGGACGCCGCCAGGGTCGCGACCGGCGACAGCATGACACTTTTATGACGTCATCAGGCGGAAATCGAGGGACCACTTTTTTGGCCGCGGTAAACACACCAGTCGGAGACGCGTTCCAGGCACCATAAGCACGGCCTCGTTGAAAAAAAGCATTTCTGTATGTATCTGTATTTGCATTCAGGGATACTTTCCCCCCGTTTGTGCAAATGTATCCCAGTGATATCCTGTTGCATAAAACACAAATCTATGTCGGTATTTGTATTCCGAGATACTTTTTTGACCACCTCCTTCCAGCCCTGCCTCAAGGGTACCCGGCAAGTTTGCGAGTATAGACGTAGTTGAGAAGATATCTAGTTTCGAACTTTTATATTAAAGTTACGACAGAAAAATAGAAACGATAGAAAAAAACTACGAACGGCTGGATCAATGTCCGAAGGTAGTTTAATTGTTATACTTGCAACTTTCTTTAGCAATTCAGAAGTGAAGACTGCGCATGCAAAGCTACGATTCACGCTTCACATGTGCATGCGCACGTGTGCCCATAGCTTTGACTCCATAGCCACAGAAAGTTGCTCGCGAGTATAGGGAGTATTCACTGGACGCCATATTTGAGGGCGCCGTTTAGAGCGCATGCTCAGAATGAGCTCGTATTTATAGGTTGCGTAGACCAGCAACATCAACGGTGTGAAATGAACGCTGCAAAAGAACTCTGGAAGCTCGCCATCAGCATGCGCTCAGCAGTCACGTACAGAGCTATGGCCACCACTGAATACTCCCTATACTACGTCGCACTGTTTTTCTGTGCTCACGGAAGAAGTAGAGTGTCCGAGCGCTACTTTCCTGGCTTTTTTGCAATAAAGCAGTTTTCCACATAGCATAAAAATAGACCTTAAGCCTTAACGCTCCGGAAGGCGTATCGTTTACTTTTCCAATAAAGTGACAAGGGAAGTTCCATCGTTCGAACATGTTCTGACTCTTGCTGTTCAAAACGCAATAGTATGTTCCGATTAATCCATCTAAAGAAGGAAAATGCAACACAAAAAGCAGCTGCGCACCAAAGCCGATACTTTTGAAGTTAGGCTAACACGAGCGAGAACTCAAAAACGACCCCCGAGTGCTCGCGCCAGTGCGTAAGTTCGAGGACAGTTGTGGGCCTCGAGGTCGTACACAGATCCAGATCCGACACGAGCATCTTTTTGATGACTCAGCGCGTTCCAGATGTGCACCAGGTAGCTCTTCTTCGTGGCCCTTCGCACGATGTCGACGTATTTACGCTCAAAAAACAGGCGCCACTTTTGGTAAGGCACGGCGTAGAACGCTTCCTCCGTATGAACTGCAACACGCGTCCCTGTTCCGTCAGTGCAGTCCAAGATTCCGGAGAGCTGTCGGTTGCAGGTGTAGTTAGACAGGGCCCTCTTGATCACACCTGGACCGTTCTGAGCCCATTTCTTGGGGTCGTAACCCTTGCTGAACTCTTCGATGCAAGTCTTGATGAAAGGGTGTCTCTTGTCGAAGATAAGAACGCCACACACTGGAGCTCCTGGCTCTTCTTCGCCCACACTGTTGCGAAGATGACCTAACCGTCTTTTTACCACGATGTCCAGGTCACAATAGATGCCACCGTACTTCCACACAAGCAAGAAGCGGATGGCGTCGCTCAGGTGCGAGATTTTGTAACGGCTTGCGTTCCAGGAGCTTCTTGAATACCATAAGTGAAGAGGGGACTCTGCGAAGAATGAGTCCGCGTCCAGTTTTTCTACCTTAAGGTTGCCGATTAGCTTCAGGGCCTCAAGCAGGGGACAAACAGTAAGATGAGACTCCTTGGCCGTTAACAGCAGTCGAATCGTCATTGACGGGTGATGGAGCGTGGCAGATTCAACAGCGCATGCCTGACGAAAGTTGATACAAGAGCTTCGGGATGACTCGACGAAGAAGAAACTTTTTCCTCGGAAATCTGAAATAACAAAACATATTTTAAACGTTAGACTTATTTCTTGACTATGCGCTGCAGGTGCTTCTGCTCAAAAAAGTCTGCTCAACATTATTCCCGACATGAATATCCGGCTTAGGGTCTATGAAGCAGCCCAAACGAACCATTCTTCGGTAGTCAAGTGTTGACGTTGAGCACACCGCAGCAAACTGTGTCCTGAAATATTGTGCTATATTTTGTCAACCCTTTCAGGAACATTCAATTAGTTCTTCAGGTGGTGTTTATATGAGTCAATTAACCTAAAAAGATTCGTCTCTGCTCAGACTATCGAATTCAATTTTAAAAATGTGTATGTCGCCGGCCACATGACCTTTTAAAAAAGCAGTATCTTTTCTGGTTGGTCATCCTCTGGTTTTTGATCACCCGTAGTAGCATCTCATCATAAGCCATCGTAAGCTGTCGTTACGCAGTCGGTTGTACTCAAAGCACAAATGTCTGAACCAGCCTGTTGAACGTCATTTGCCTCATCTTTTCATTCCCCCTTTTCTCTATGATCGGTAAGAGGCGCTTATGATCAGATCAACAAAAATTCCAGGAACAGATCTTTTCGAAAAAGAAATGGTGGCGTGGGTAAGCTGGCATAAATTTATCATTTTCTTAAACCACCTGAGACTGAGTGGAGAACAAGAATTTAACGTGGAAGACGTTGCCTTCGGTGTTTTTGTGACTAGGAAAAAAAGCTGTAAAAACAGCTTGACTGGCCCCTAGCCACCCTGAACAAGCAGTCTATAACCCCAAAAAGAAATATAATCCGCAAAGCGCGCACCCAGAAACCTCGGACTGAAAGAAACGGAGTCATGCAACCCACTGAGCACAAGACGTCTCGTAGCCAACTTTGAAGAGCTCGACTAAGCTAGAGACGTCTTTGGCTACGCGAGCCGACTATAAGACATCTTTACAATACGTCTATAAGACATATTTACAAAACGTCTCAAGATATCTTGACGTAGATGTATACTGGGATACATCTCAAAAAGACGACTCACGTCTTCGGCGTCTTGTAGCTGTCTCTAAGACGTCTAGGAGACGCCTTGCCAGACGTCTTGTAGCCCCCAAAAGAGGTACCTTCATGAAGTCTGCTGGGCGGCTACAAGATGACTGCAGACGTCTTAGGCTATCACGTCTTGCCAAAGTATGCAAGAACTCTCGCTCGCCTTGCCAAGACGTCTTTAGACGTCTAATAGACGACTTGGTGTTCAGTGGGCAAGTAGTTCGTCGCTGCGCTTTAACACAAGGTGACAGCGGTTCTTAAATAACTATCATAGGTTGTTTACAGATGGCGCCACGGGATAGATAGTAAAATCGACCGGGAATGACAATGTCCAGGCTTTCATCGGAGTGCAAACTGGATCCTCCTATTTTCCTATTGGAATACATAAAACCAAGATCTTTTCCGAGATATGTTAAGAAAGAAATTATCTTCAGGTTCGAAAAGGGGGCAATTCGATGGAATTAAAGCTCACGTAGAAAATCTCTAGCTCCAAAACTTGGAAATGAGCGAACGCGCTACGAATTTGTTTTTTATTCTCGTTTGAATAAAACCATCCCGAAGTCAATCCGTCCGATGGTTGGTGAGCAGTCGGACCAAATATTTGCCATTGGAAATATATTGGGCCTGGGGAACTCTCCAGTATCGTGGTACGCGGAGCACGGTATCGCTTTGCTAAAAGTCCCTAATCTCGCCGAAATGTGAGCACCGAGAGAGTTTGGATGATGGGCACCTCGTCATGCGGGAAATGACAGCTCCCGCGGGAGTCCAGTCAGCACGCTCCGCGAACTTCAGCCCCGAATCCGTGTTTGACGAAACTAGCGACAAAGATCACACGGCTGCTCGTTCTAGTCGCGAGTTGAAACGCTGGTCGATTACCCGACATTTTTTTCTACGACTGCCCCGTGTGAAAAAACAACAACGAAGGCGTGTTTCGTAGGTTAGCTACGTCGAGGATTAAACTTCAGCGGCATTTCGTACGAAAATCGTTGTACCCTCCCCTTTAACTGATTCGCAATATAAAGTTAGCGAGTTGCGAGCACCCGGATTCAAGGAACGAGTTACGGCTAGTTCACGCAGTCTCGTTTGCTTACGTTAAGTATACGTTACAAAAGCGTGGCAACCTGTTCAAGAAGATGACCTGGTACCTGACATTCGGGACATTAATGTTTCGACAACTTCAATGTAATGCAACAAAAAAAAAAAACAAAAAAAAAAAAACGAAGGAACCGGTGTTGCATTAACCAAACTTTACGTTTCATATCTGAGACTTACGTTGGCCGGGAACGCGGAACCGCACGTTCGAAAAGTTGGCTTCAAAATTTGGAGGCGCATCTTTGGTAGTCGCACCGTTTTCCTTACGTCGCGACTGATTTGCAAGAATTCGCGCATAGAGCAGAGTGAGCGCGACGGCGTAGCACAAAAGAGTGCACAGGATCGCGATCTGCTGCATTTCACGAGGAAATGGGCTGTGCGGGCCAAGGAAGTTGCAGGTTCAGCTTATCTCGTCGTAATCCAGTTTTGGGTGATAAAGGCTCGCTCCCGAACGGCTCCGTCTCACTCCTAGTTCGACCGCCGCCCACGCCACAAACCGACGGAGAGCAGCGCCAAAAGTGCCTCGTCACGGGGTTCTTTTTCTTTCTTTGTTCGAAGGCTAAATTTATCACGCACGAAAGTTTGCAGCTCCGCGATTGGCTCTGACTATCAGATCGTAGCATCTGCTGCTGTGGAATTTAAAGGGGCACTAACACCCCCCCCCCCCCCCCCCATTTTTTCAAATATTTTTTCCCAGGCGATATAATATGGTGTCAGAAGATTGCCCATTGAATAGTTTGGTACAGAGTCCGGTATATTTTTAATAAAACCAAGCAACGCAAGAGCTCGAAACCGAAACCTACGCATGGAGGTCAGTGAGGTACAGAGTAGAGTGGGTCGGAAGTTACGTGCTACTCCCAATTCCAACCGCGCTTTTTTTTTTCTACTCTTTCATTTTTTTTTTTTCACGCGCAGCAGGCGATGGCGTTGTGGGTACCGTTTGCCGTGCGATAGCTTTGCAGTTATGTTTGTTCCGCTCGCTGTTTATCGCTTCAAGATGATTTGTTTTGTATATCGAAGAGTTCGAATTTGACTCCGTAAGTGTGACGTCATAGGTCCAAACAAACCGTTGCTAGGGTCGTTGTTAGGGACAAATACATGTGGCTAGGCTTCGCTACGAAAACCCGACCGTTCAAAAATCGGGAGTAGGATTTAAACTTCTAAAAATCACAGATATAGAAAGCTTAAATGTCCTATATGTTTTGATAGAAGTGTGCCGACAATCGCTTGTTTCTGAAATGTTTACGATTGCGACTTCCGGTCCTCAAGATGCCTGCAGCAGACGGCGAATGCAAGGTGCCGTCTGCCACACGCCCGCCGGCCAAGCCGGCGTCGGCGTCTGAATCGTGTGAATAACGGCGATATTCTGATATTTTATTTGTTTTAAATATAATGAGTTTCAGGCATTTATAAGAATTTATAGTGGAGTGCGATGAAAAATATGGTTTATCGAAATTCCGGGCGTCGATCGAGATGATCGTCTGCTAAAGGATCGCAATGTACAGAGCGCGACACTGTTAGCGCGAACAAGCGATCGCTGGTTTTTCCAGTTTTTCTCTTTGAAACCAAGGGATGTCATTCAAGTTATTATGGACACGGAAAGACCTCATTTAGCTCTTTGGCGTAAGCGATAAAAATTCGTAGTCGCTAATACTATTTAGAAGTAAAATGCGAAAATGCGTCGATGTCGTGTTCACGCTAACAGTGTCGCGATGGGTACCCGTTAAAAAAGCACTTCAGGCGATCGGTTGAGATCCCAAATTTTGTTTGCGGACTCGCGCTACGGGAGGGCGCTTCGTACCTGGTTGTAACCATCGCGTAGAGAAAGATCCTTCTCCAGATATCCGCAATACCCCAAAGTGCGAGAGAACTGGATGAAAAACATAAGGTAAGTTTATTACAGATTATACTCGCATCGCGGGTTCGACGGAGATCTTCACCAAAAGAGCACATCCAGAAATCTTAATGTATACAAATGAAAACAAAAATACTGCGAAATTGCGATAGACATGCAATTCTTTAATGACCTGACAACCTACAAACGACTTACCTCGACGGCGTACGATTTGTTTTTTATGATGGCCTGCACTACGCCGGTAATGCACTCGAGGTCGTCGTCGTAACTGATCTGCACGACGTGGTTCCATTTTAAGGCATTTTCACCCCTCTGAACTAAGCTGGGTTCTTCATAGAAAAAACGCACATTGCGGAGGCCTCTATGGCCATGGCAATGCACTTGTTTTCGTCGCTCGTTTACCGACGCAATTTAATGAAGACGCCCGCTGCAACAGAGGCCAGCAAATCCAAAGCAAAGCGGAGTGTAATACTTCAGAAATGGCTTTCATCGTTGCAATACGACACTGAGACGACAAGAACATCTTTACAAATAGATATCAAGAAGTTAGGTTGCTTACAAAAAATTATTTACTAACTTGTAAGCAAAAATCTATCCTCATGTGAAGTCTCCATGCATTAGTCCATAGCAACGTCCCTAGCAACTGTTTGTTTGGACCCAGACGCCATGTTGTGACGTAGTCACTTAAGGGGTCAATAAGGAGCGAGTGCCCGTGGTGAATGCCCGTTTCGGCTCCGAAAAGAATAGCCCCAAGATGATGTGTGAAGAGTTGGCTCACAAGTCCTGCGTCCGAAGAAAGTGGCATTGTGCCTCAGAGTCAGCACAAGTTTCCGAAAGATTAACGGGATCGGGACCAATGGCTGACTGCAATTCCTGTAGAACATTTACGGGCACCTCGGAAACCGGACGCTACCCGATTTAT